CCACTTAGATACAGCCACTCTCTGATACACCAGAACCCCTTAGATACAGCTACTCTCTGATACACCAGAACCCCTTAGATACATCCATTCTCTGATACAACAGAACCCCTTAGATACAGCTACTCTCTGATACACTAGAACCCCTTAGATACAGCCACTCTCTGATACACCAGAACCCCTTAGATACAGCTACTCTCTGATACACCAGAACCCCTTAGATACATCCATTCTCTGATACAACAGAACCCCTTAGATACAGCTACTCTCTGATACACTAGAACCACTTAGATACAGCCACTCTCTGATACACCAGAACCACTTAGATACAGCCACTCTCTGATACACCAGAACCCCTTAGATACATCCATTCTCTGATACACTAGAACCCATTAGATACAGCTACTCTCTGATACACCAGAACCACTTAGATACAGCTACTCTCTGATACACCAGAACCCCTTAGATACAGCTACTCTCTGATACACCAGGACCCATTAGATACAGCCACTCTCTGATACACCAGAAACCCCTTAGATACAGCTACTCTCTGATACACTAGAACCCATTAGATACAGCCTACTCTCTGATACACCAGAACCCCTTAGATACAGCTACTCTCTGATACACTAGAACCCCCTTAGATACAGCTACTCTCTGATACACCAGAACCACTTAGATACAGCCACTCTCTGATACACCAGAACCCCTTAGATACAGCCACTCTCTTCCCTGAAAGCAGTAATGTTGCTCTGAGAGTCTAATATACTAGAACTCATTACAATATGGTCAATTGTTTGTCTTATAAGGTGATGTAGTTCTAGCTATATATAATCGTCACAAAGATAGTAGTTAATCTACTAAACATTACTAAGTATGAAATATAAGATATATAGTAGTTAATCTACTAAACATTACTAGGTATGAAATATAAGATATAGCAGTTAATCTAGTAAACATTACTAGGTATGAAATATACGATATATAGTAGTTAATCTACTAAACATTACTAGGTATGAAATATAAGATATATAGTAGTTAATCTACTAAACATTACTAGGTATGAAATATAAGATATAGCAGTTAATCTAGTAAACATTACTAGGTATGAAATATAAGATATATAGTAGTTAATGGTCGTTCTGTCTGTGCTTAGTTGAGTTTGGTTGAGGGTAATAATACCTAAGGATATTGTTTATCATGGCTTGTCCCCTTGTGCCGGGGACATCTATGATTTAGTATCGTTTCGATCGAGATGTACTTGTCGGTGAATCCTCCTTTACTTTTGTTATAGAGATTTATAGCTCCATCGGCCCAGCGCCAAGGGAGGGTGGATTTAAATGTAATATTTTCCAAGACAGCCTTGCTTGTCAGACATTATTGGATGTATTAGTTGTTTACACGACGGTTCACTGGTGGTGTGTTTTGTTTGGGTGTCGTTTTTTGAATATGTTAATAAATATGTCATTGAAATTATTGTGTAGTAAGAACTTCTATAAACGGAACTGTATTTTGTTGCTCATTTCAGATCCCTATAAAACAAATTCCAAGTCGCTCTGTGAATGGTTAAAATGTGGACATTATTTGTATTCCTGTAAGCGCATGAATTATCAATATAAGTTAATTTATGGTCTTCAAACAAGAAGGACTCAGTTTGAGTGTGTTAATGTTATTGAAACAAGGCCTCAGTTTGAACGTGTTAATGTTCTTGAAATAATTAGATAGACTCAGTTTGAACGTGTTAACGTTCTTGAAATAATTAGATAGACTCAGTTTGAACGTGTTAATGTTCTTGAAATAATTATATAGACTCAGATTGAACGTGTTAATGTTCTTGAAATAATTAGATAGACTCAGTTTGAACGTGTTAACATTCTTGAAATAATTAGACTCAGTTTGAACGTTTTAGCATTCTTGAAATAATTAGACTCAGTTTGAACGTGTTAATGTTCTTGAAATAATTAGATAGACTCAGTTTGAACGTGTTAATGTTCTTGAAATAATTAGATAGACTCAGTTTGAACGTGTTAACGTTCTTGAAATAATTATATAGACTCAGTTTGAACGTGTTAACGTTCTTGAAAAAATTATATAGACTCAGTTTGAACGTGTTAACGTTCTTTAATTAAGAAGAAGGACTCGGACTATACTAACCGTTTCATATACAGTGAGGTACTTAGTTGGACTATTCTAACCGTATAGTCAGTGTTTTTGTCTTGTTCAAAATAAACAGATTTTCCCCATATATATATATATATATATATATATATATATAT